TACCCCATAACAATATTTAAATCAGATTATTTTAGATTGATTTATCAAAATATCAGTTCTCTAGTTTTCTGACAATCAAAATCTATACAGATTAATCAATTTATTAACTCTCTAGTTTTGCCGCAATCAAAATCTATACAGAAGTATCTCAATTAGTCTAATTGAAATCTTTGATATCACCATGAAAATAAAAAATCTCCTTTATATATAAAGAGAAATTGGTGATTTACCCAAAGTTGTCATGTGGTCAGAGAAAAATTCAAAGTCGTCATGTGGTAATTAGTTGAAATTTACTGATAAATACTCTCCGTTCCAATTAGTTTTTAATTCTAATGGATTCTAAGAATATTTAGAAAGAGTTAAGTATTTTTGACCAATCAAGCTATCATGAATGTTGAATTTCAAATTCTAATTGATGACTATTTTTAGACCTTTCAAATATATCACCTGCAAATCCAAAAAAACTACAACTCATACCAGATGAGACGAGCCTTAACTCTATAGCCAAATTCAAGACCAATATGGCAATATGTATACGGATTTCTAAAGGGTTACTTTCACACAACCTTCCTTTGAGATACCGTTTGACAAGGGGTTAAAGGAAAAGAGTTAAGAAAAAGAATTGATTTAGTTAAAAATCTTCACGGAAGGTTAAAAATAATTTAATTTTGTTTAGATTTGACAGTCAAGATGAAGGGTTAAATTTTTTCGTTTGGTAAATAAATAGTTGTTAAGGAGGTTAGTTATCATAAATATCCTAAAGTATATTCTTTTTTAAAGTTTTATTTTTTATTTTCAGACATGAAATGTCTTAAGGACTCTTTATGAAGTTATGGTGAGAGTTATGATTATATTTTTATATTCTAACAATGTCCCCTCATATTGACAGGTCTTTTATGGGCCAAAACTTGTACTCGAACAACATTATCAATTTATAGAAACACACTTTAATTCGTAGCCGATTGGATTTGTACCTGGATCGCTATGATATCATCTTAAAGTCCCTCTAACAATTATACCAAAGCTCTAAAGTTGTAATGAGAATTGAGAGTTATATTTTTATATTCTAACAAAATGATCCAAAAAAATTAAAAAAAAAAGATTAACTATACTGCTATTTAAAATAGATTACTGATCATCTCCATCTTACGTGGTCCACATGGTGAACAACGACAGAATAGAGCAGCCTATTAATTTATATTCTCTGTATTTTGTTTACAGCACTTGAGAGATACTAATTGGATTAGGCTTTGTTGATTAAGCTGCATGGTAGGAGTTTTGTAGCTAAGACCCATATATAATCATCTAAAGCTATAACTGGCCCTTTGATCAACATAAATGAAGTGGGCTATAATATACATGGGTCTCAATCCACCTAACTTTTTTTTTTGTCAAATCATATACGGGACCTACAAATGGGCTTGTCCAGGCCTGCAGTTCCAGAGTGTAGATTTCTAGCTAAGGACCTATATGAACCACTGAACTAAAAATATAAATGGGTCTCGGACCACAATGTTTTTTAAATAATCTCATTAACCACCTTAAGTCCGAACGTCTCATTAATTTTAAGGTGTTTAAAGTGTCAATGATGCTTTTAATTGTTTGATCGATGGTCCCGGAGAGATCATTGAGGTCCGTCAGCATGTGGGCCGGATGGAGCAAGAAGTTCAGCCCAATTTGGTGGGGGTTTGTGTCTCTTTGTGTTTGTTTTGTTCTTTGTTTTTTGTTGTGTGGGCGCGCGTGCACTCGTTTGGAGGAGGGGGAGGGAGTATGTATGTGTGTGTGTGTATATATGGGGTTTGGTAAGTATGAGTTGGTAGCTCATTTAGCAAAATGAGATATTAATAGATAGATTGGTGAGACCCACATCTTTTGATATGATAAGTATGACAGACCTTGCCACATGACTATCTCTTAGTAGCTCAGTTTATAAAATGAGTTCGTCACCTCATATCCATTTTCTCTCTCTCTCTCTATATATAAACACTTGGAGAGTTGGATGTGCCCTTGATTTCTTTGTAAGGAGAGATGATTGGCCTGGTGTTTAGAGGTATTAAGAGGTGGGAAAAAAAGTTACGGTAAGATTTTAGGGTTATAGTTTTATATTCTTATATGTTTATGAAGGTTGAGCCTTTTATTATAGTTCGAAGCTTTGACTCACGTGTCAATGGCAATTTTTTTAAGATCCGCTTTAAATTCATAAATGATGGAAATTGAACCTGGTTGTTTTTTGAAAGTATGATAATAATTAAGGGTTATAATTTATAATCTAACACTATCTAATATCAATTATATGAGAGTCCAGAGGGGAAAGTAGGTGTTCAAGAACTAACATACGGTTCCTTATTGCCATCCTTTGCTTTCACAAGTGAAGTGAATGTTGTTTTTCTTCTCATTGTACAATTCATCATAGCTGTAATGAGATAAAAGAGGGATTTCTCTTATAAAGTGTCGCTTTTAGGGGCTGTTTGGTTGTATGTTTTTACAATGTAAAAGGATGGAAAGTGTAAAAAAGTGGGTCCCAATGTCAGCTTCTATCACTTTCAATTGTTTGTTTATACTTGTAAAAATAGTGTAAAGTGATTTCATATGCTGATGTGGCTTGTAAAGTGATTTCATAAAAAAAAGACATGATTTTAGGAGAAAGCTGACATTAAAGTCAGGAAAAAATAATAAAAAATTATTCCAACCAATATGATCATTTAAGTAGGGATCACTTTTTACACTTTCCAAACAAACAATTAAAGTTACATTTGCAAACCAAACAAGCAATTTATGATTCCAATGGAATAAAAAACAAACAAAGAAAAATATAAAAGTAAAATTGATGAGGTGGACAACAACTTTCTAAGTTGTGTCATAAATACACAACTTTACCAACAACCACCAAACAGCCCCTTAGAATCTCAGAGGGATTTTCTATCAATAATTCAAACCTCAGGCGGGGATCTTCTAAAAATACCCTTATCTTTTAGGGCTTTTTCGATATTAGTCCCTTAAATCTATCATATTTTGAATTAGTACCTTGTATCACTGAAATTGCTATCAGGTCCTCAAGTTTTAAATTACTTTAAAGTTCGTCCCTCAAATCACTAAAATTGCTACTAGATCCCCCAATTTTCGAGTAAATTTGAAATTAATCCCTCCAATCAAGTGTAAAAGTAGCAATTAAAGTGGTTAATTTGAGATTCCTTATGAGAATTTGAGAACATAATAGCGATTTTAATAATTTGGGGAACTAATTTCCCTCTAATTGCTACTTCCATGCTTCATGTGAGGGACTAATCTACGAATTCGGGGGACCTAATAGCAATTTTAATGATTTTAAGACTAATTTCAGACCGACCTAAGATTCAAGGAACTTGATAGCAATTTCAATGATTCAAGGGACTAAGTCAAACTATGAAAGATAAGGGATTAATATTGAAAAAACCCTATATCTTTTTTTTCCCCCCCCCCCCCCCCCCCCCCCCCCCCCCACATATATTTACCACCTCCCAGATCAGAGTCATGAAAGAAAATCATAAAAAGAAAACCAGGATGCTCAATTGTCAAAGTGGTCCTTCAAACTACAGCTAGATGATCAAATATAACCTTATCATCAACGTGCTCAGTGTGGGAAAAAGGGTTCTCTCTTATGCCTGCTACAACTTGTATTGCCTTGTTACCGAAATTTTTGGCAACTAACATTCCAAGCATAAACGTCAGCATGATATCAGAAAGGGGATTTCCTGCATGATGACAGCGTCCTAGATTCTAAGAATTTTCCTATCTTTTTATCTGCCCATTCTTCATAGATGAGTATTGATTCGATCAGGACCGCTCTATACAGAAGAATAGGCTTTGCCTGGTTCATAGGAGAACATATATCCTAGGTTTTATCCACGTATATGATCGACAATTGCAGAAATGCAGGATTAATCAAAAGCTTTGGAATCATCCCCGTCGTCTAGAGAAATAATAAACCTTCCAATATGCAGATGACACACTTTTCTTTCGTAAAGGAAATCCGAGTCTGATCTGTTTCGAAAAGTGGTAAGGGCTTAGGATAAATTTTCGCAGGAGCGCTTAGGTTTTCTTAGGGAAAACATCTGTTGAAAACTTCATGATTGCCGTGTGTTGTTGCCAAGACAAATGGTTTTTCTTTGTATCAGATAACCACTTTACTCAAAGTTTAAGCTGATGAGTTATGAATTGTAGCTCAAGAGTGTATATTTTATAGACTAATGACAGGTTTGTCTTGCCTCCATCCTGGTCCTGAGAGAATTTCTCATTAATCCCATATGACAATTCTCCATTTGGAATATAAATTCTAAGAATACATAATTAAATCTAGTTATGGGACAAAATACCAAATATGTTTTCTATTGCTGCAGTAGAACTGTGGCCTTTTACTTTCTGTAAATTTGATGATCATCTGTTCTAGTCGTTTTGGTTTGATATCTCAATGCAATTCTTATGTTACTCTCCCTTAAATTCATTGTTTTCATTACAATACAACTTTATTGTATCACATTTCATTTTTGGTGTTTTCACATTTTAATGCAATTCCCATCTTTACTCTT